GAGATTGATGTGGTCACAAATTACCGACTACCTTGTGACTATAATGGTGTTGTCGCAAATTAGCGACTATGTTGCYARGARATATTTCAGTTGCAAAATAGCAACGCGTGTGTGACTACGCTTTGTGGTGGGAAAATAGCGACTAATTAGCGACAAGCGAGGAAGTCGTTAAATTGTTACTAATTTGTGACGCCTTGTGTAGTCGTAAATTAGCGACATATTAGTGACTCCTTTTAATATTATGTCTAGTCACAAATTAGTCACTAAAGTGTCACTTGTTAGACACTAATTTGCAACTRGTTTGTTAWTTTTTTGGTCAKTTAATTGGCCTATTCAGTTGCAAATTGGTCATATTTTTGTCACTTAAAACACATACATTTGTGTTTTGATTTGAGAAADCTAAATGAAAAGAACTTAAAATCTTWAAACTACAAAAYATTAGAATACCATAACATAAGTTTTTAAAGCATAAGTACATAAGTTTGACAAAAGAGAAGTAGTAATTAAGTTAGAGTKCAAAAGATAGAGAGAGAGTACATAACAAGTTTTTTAAACAGYAGMAGTACATAACCAGTTCAGGTGTTGTCTTTAGCTGGAGGAGGTTGAGAAGGATTGGCTGTGGCAGAAGGATCTAAGGCAGAGGAGTCAGACATGTAAGCAGCAAGCTGGGATTGTTGTCCTTCATAAACAGAAGGAGCTTCTCCAAATCAGTAATACGAGCTTGACTTTGCCTTAGCGCCTCATCACGTCGCTGATTTTCTGCTTCGTTTTCAGCAATCTTTTGACGAGCTGATTTAAGCTCTTCCTGGATCTCTACCAGTGATGACGAAGAAGATTCAGCATATCTTATCTTCCTCTTTCCTTTCTGAACCTGTGAGAGTTGGCCCATTCCATAAGGAATCCCCTTGGAATCGAATTCAGTACACTGCAACAGTCATAACAAGTATATCAAACAGTCATCAAGCTGAAATCCAAGCAATAGTCACTGCAACAGTCATAAGAAGCTGCAATTCAAGCACTAACATGTGATGATTACCAAAACAGTATCATTCAAGACTACCAAAACAGAATCATTAACAAAGAACAATAACAGGTCTAACAAGCAATACCAAAASTACACTGAAATCCAAGCAATAACAAGTAATGATTAACCATAYACCTAAATCCAGTATCATTCAAGAGAACCAAAACAGTATATCATTAACAAGAACCTAAGTTAGAATGAATCATAAATCACAATTGTATACAAGATAAACCAATATCTTTTCCACCAACAAGTCATCTAATCACAATTGTACTGATCCCAATGGTACTCACAATGATTCTCAAAGATGATAACACATACAGAACAGACATAAAGCATGAGAGAAGATTAATTTACCTTAAGGAAGATGTCATTCCTCTCAGAGATGCTTAGAGTCTGCTGTGTAGAATGCTCAGAGGAGGAGTCTGTAGCCTCTGGTCCATCTCCAGGCTGATCCAAAACTTC